AAGCGAAATAATGTAGAGTAAATAAGAGTGTTATTAGTATTTTGTAATTGCCAGCTAAAATCTTTCAGATGAATTCTTATGTATCCACATACGTCACTTGCCATTTATTTTTTTTCACTTTTTTTAGTCTCAATTAGAATAGCAGCTCCAATTCATAGGGAAAATATAATTTAGACCGGAGATTTGAAGACCAAGATAGTGTGGCCTTCTGTTTGGTCGCAGTCTCCCTTAGCTTTATAGCTATGAGACGATCTCGTTTTCGCAACTTGGCCGAGCGTCAGGGAGGCCTAGTGGAACTTAACCAGTCCTGCGTCCTCTGCCATAATATTCGTGATGTTCAGCATCAGGCCATTGACTTGGTACATTCCAAAAGGTTTCGCAGGGCTGTGCTGATGATGGCACCTCCTACTGACGATGCCGACTATGATGCCGGCCAAGCGTTTGGGAATGTATCAAGCCGATGATCCGATGCTGGACCTCACGAATCCTATGACAGAGGACACAATACTAGGTACGTTCCACAAGGTATTCCTGGCGCCCCGACCAAGTTGCGAAAATGAGGTCGAACCAACAAAATATAATTTATTCTATGCTTTACGCATGAATTACGTTAATGTTAAGACTGATAATATTTTGATAGCTATTTTACATTTAAGTTAAGTTTTGATAATGTTTGTGCGATTAATTCATATAAGCTAAAGAAACAAAATGCAATAAAAAATTCTCGCTATGTGTAAATTTAAATTCTTTTGTAAATTGTCTAAAAATCTTTTTCATAGACTACCTTATTTTATTTATTTCGAGACATGGTCAGAGCAGAGTTGCTCAACTCCCTATCTCATCCTAAATAACTTTATCCTTTCGTCATTTTTCTTAGCATTACTAAGTATGTAAGTTGAGCTAAGCTAAGCTGAATATGCTAAGCTTTATGACATTCCCAAACGTTTTTCACTATTTTCAAGTCAACAATTATACGTTATAAATAATATCATATTCCTCACTCACTTTAGCTATTCTATAGCAAATTTATTAATATATACATTACTTTATATTCGATGTAGAGATTCGCTCTCTGCCATCCTATCAACTGCCTTGAACGAGCCGTGTCCATCTAGCGAAACAGCCATCAAGGATAACCTGCGTCGTCTGGCCTACGAGCTGAAAGAAAAAATAGAGGTAAGCTTTCTTTTTAGTAATGCTTGGAGACTACCATCAGATCTTGAATAAAAATGGTGCTCTCCTTATTCCGTTTAGGGTGATAAAAGACTGATAGTTGAATTTTGCCTTAATCCACATAGGCCACGTGCTTTCGTTGCATTTCACATAGCCTTGCTTTACAAAAGGCATTCTCAACCAGGCCAGGGTTGACAGTAGCTTCGACCTTTTCTGGACTGACCTCATAAGCACCCTAGGCAGGACTCGAACCCAAGATGCGATAGTGGAGCGTATAACTTTGACACATTAACCACTTAATTCGTCTTCCACCAGTACCCTTTAGTCACAAGGCATTTTCCCATATCACCTTGTAGGGTGGGATTTTCGCTGAATTGTATTTGTCATAGCAATGAGCTAGATTACTTATTTTCTGCTTCATGAGCAGGTTTTTGAGGCTACCAGTAGACCATATATATAATTTAGACAGCCTACTTCTAGATGATAATTAAGTAGTATAATACATTGCTACTGCAAATATAATTATGCTTTACTGACGATCCCAACCACTGCAAATGACGCGAGAAAGGCCTGGCCTTCCTTGAAACTCATATCTTCCCCGTGACCCAAGGGCACTTGTGGTAGTCCGGTGCAGTGGTTAACGTATCGAGATTAATGGCTGCACAACTACGATCTGGGTTTACTCCCGTTGGGGGTGCGGGGGAGGCCACTCTGGGCAAGGTCGAAATGACAGTTCATTCCAGATAGGATAAGAAAAGCTTTTAGAAAGCAAGGCTATGTGAAACGCGAGGCCTACTCATATGATTATTGCAAAAATAGACTACCAGTCCTTCCTCACCCTAAACGAAATAGGGTGAACAAAATTTCTGTTCACAATCGAGGTAAACCTTTAAGAGTGGTTTAACTAAAATCTATGCGCAGAAAAGTTGGGTTTTGAGGAATCTCTTGTTTTATAATTGTTGAGCTTACTTCCATTTCCATTGAAAGTGTTGGGTGAAGAGATTCGAAGGTCGGTTCCTTTAGAAGACGACGGCCGATTCCTCTTGACCAGCTGTCGATTGGCTATACTGAAAGATTCATGCTGACTCTGTTTCCGAGGCAATCTCCTTCG